ACCAACCCCTGAAATACCCCCCCCCCAACCCCCCAATCCCCCAAACGAAACTTCTCTGTTCAAAGTTTTCTTTGCGGATTCGGGGAGATCTCCGTTAGCGCAGTCCAACCATGTTTTCCAAAAAAAAAAATAAAAAAATTTGACCCACTTTTGGACCCAACCGGAATTCCGGTTGGACCACCGGGGGTCCAACCGGCCCGGTTGGATCCGGGCCGGTCCAACCGGCCGGTTGCCGGCACAGCCATGCATTAAACTCTTTATAGGGTAAAACCCGGTAAATAGGGAGTGGTGCTATTGGTGTTCCAGGGGCCAGCGCTGCTGATACCTCACCACCAGAAAGGCTGCTTTGCTGTGATAATTTTGGCAGTTTGATAAAAATGAAAGGGTTCGGGACATCCGTTAAAATTGGAACGATACAGAGAAGATTTGCATGGCCCCTGCGCAAGGATGACATGCATAAATTGAGTAATGCTCCAAATTTTAGAAAGGGTTTCACCCTGTTCGCTTAACATTGCAGATACCAGGATTCGATCCCCAGACTTTCCCTAGCCCACTGTATAGTTGCCCGTTGACCCTGTGCTCTTTCAACCCGCAACCTGTCCCTAAAACCGTGTACAAATGTTTTGTCTGTGTAGCTTAGGTCATGTGGATTTCATCCATAGGTTAGTTGTTTAGAAGTCTCAAGGGTCGTCTTTAAGTTTCCTAAAACGGCGAATTTACAGTTGACCTTTCAGACGGTCAACTGGCCATACGTCCTCTAAAGGGTCAGTAGGTCGTGGCTAGAACAGTGCTTGAAGAGTCAACTCGATGGCTCACAGGTTGAAAGGGCAGTCTGTCCATGTCTGAAATGTCAAGAGTCCCAAGTCAAACACCGAAGGGACAATCAAAAGGGCAGTCCCAGTCCAGTCCATTTTGCAGCAAATACCAGAGTGGGATTGCACATCTTGAGGGCCTGGGACATCAGGCAGGCCCGGACCACCAAACGAAACAGTATAAATAAAGAGGCAGCGATCAGTCAGCCTGTGGCATGCTGCGCAGCCACAAGGGCCTGCAGCGCCCGACCAGCGTTCTCAGCCTAAAAGCCTGAAAACAAGGGCCTACAGGCCCTGTGTCGTTTTCAGCCTGAAAGCCTGAAAATGAGGGCCTACAGGCCCTATGTCGTTTCAGCCTAAAACAGGGCCCTCCAGGCCCTGAGTCTTTTCAGCCTGAAACGGAGGGCCATTTTCAGGCCCTCATAAGATCGACCTGCCCTGAAACTTACGCATCAGACCAGGGTTTTAGCACAGGCCATTTTTGGCCTGTTTTCAAGACAGCCCTTGTTTGAACTTCAACACCAGGGTCTGGCACGTTTTGGCATTGGCAAGAGCAGCCTCCTGGACCGGCCAGCACTATATAAGACCGGCCTGCCCTGCAGGCTGCAGGTAGTCACGAGGCAGTTCATAGGAACTTCCCAGGCACTTCATGTGCAGGAGGCAGGAGGCAGTCTCCAGGATTCAGCAGCAGCACTCTGGAGGAGCGCTGCAGTAATAGTAGTAGTAGCAGCATTAGCAGTAGTCTTCAGCGCTGGGCGCTATTAGGAGCTAGAGTAGCGTTGGAGAGAGAGAGATGGTTGGCGGAGGCCAGGGAGACTTACCTGTGGCGCCATAGTTCCAGCTTCATCTTCGGTGTACCTGCAACAAGGCGCCACCTTCACAGGTTAGTACCAGAGTGAGAGAGAGAGAGAGAGTCCTTCTTCTTCCTCTTCTAAGTCCACCATCTCTCCCTTACCCTCTCGCTACCTAACTTCTCAGTATCTACAGACTACGAGAAAGAGAGAGAGATTGGTGACTTTGGGACTTGACGACATTTGGATTCAGACTCGACTTTGGGATTGAGACATTGGACGAGGGATTATTTGGGACCTATACTGAAGACTTGGTGTTGACGACATTCCCATCTTCCCCTCTTCTTCGTCTAACCCCCCCTCTTCTTCGTCTGTGTATGGTTGGGGACTGGCGCATTCTTCCTGTGTGAGCGCCAGGCCCCTTCACACCATGGAATGATGATGATGTATGTTTGGTCTGCATTGCGACATTGATTGTTCGGATCATTGGTATTTTAGCCTTCCGCTGGGCTATCTTGTACTAAGTGAGAGAGGTCGGTTCTTGTTCTCGTCTGCACCTTTACGGTATGCGACAGTTTGGTATCGGAGCTGACCTATCAATCAGAGGATCCGCCCAATCAAGTAGCCAGCTTGCTTGATCTTCTGATTGTTGAATGATTGATTGATTGATTAATTGATTGATTGTTTATTAGTAAATCAAGTAGGACTTCGTCAAATCTCTGCAAAAAAAAAAGAAATCTTTCTCGCATTTCAAGTATCTGAAAATTTCTGATAGACTGTGATAGTAGCATTTCGTTTTATCTGAAAATTTCTGATATTAGCATTCGTTCTAAATAGCCAAAAAATTCTGATGGTATCATTTCGTTTTCTAGGCATATAGGATAACGATAGAGGTTGTCATATTCTCGGAAACTGGATTTAGTATTTTCTGAAAATCGAATCTCTATTCTATTTCGCACAATTTTTTTTTCAAAATCGCAATTTTTTTGGAAAAGCCGAAATTTTGGCGAAGCCTTGCCTAAATCTTACTCTTAGCACTCCTCCATAAAGTGCCTCACTGATATCAAATCGACAGATTTTCAAAAAAAAAAAAAAAAAAAAAGGGAGATGAGTGATCATGAGTCTCTTCTTTTATTTTATTTTATTTTTTTTAGTCTGTTGATTATGACCGGGAGGAAAGTATACTTTGGTTGGTTACCTACCTGCGTTTTCCCTCCCACCCAACCCTTTGCCTGCATTCCAGGTTTGGTACAGTGCCATGTCATCAGTGCCACATCAGCAGTGCCACGTCAGCAACAGTGCCACGTCAGCAGTGCCATGTCAGCAGTGCCCCGCCACCATGACGGTCTCAGTTCTGGGCATGCCACGCCAACTGGCCAATGAGTCCATTGCCAAGTACCGACAGCGGTTCCAAGCTCAGCTCGCACTGATCGAGGCTGAGGAACAGCGTCAGGCGGCAGCCGAGGCTGCCCGCCTACAGGCTGAAGCGGCGGCAGTAGCTGAAAAGCAGCGACTTCAGGCAGAAGCTGACACAGATGCCCAGGTCCGCCTCAAGGAGGCCCAGGATCTGCTACAGCGGCACGAAGCCGCCAGCATCGAAAAGCTCAAGTTCTGGCATTTTGAACCATCCAAGAACCACGAAGACGCGACACCGGAAGAGCAGCACAAGGAATTTCTCGCCAAACTCGTGACCCGGTTGGTTTATACTTGTAACCACCTGCAGTGCGAGCTGGCGAATCTCCGACGGGTGGTGCGGAACCACAAGGATCTGCACGAGGATGCTACACGGGCACTTGATTCCCGTGTACAGGACTTGGAGCAAGTTGAACCAGGACCAGATGCTGGCGAGTCCAGCAGTGCACCCTCTACCCGCCAATTGGAGGAGTTGACCACGTAGTCGCAATGCTCGGCGACATCAGCACCTTCACTGCACCAGCCATCATCAGCAAGCAGCTGGACACCGTGAAGACCGAGGTTCAGCAACTGCACCAGCTGCCCAACAAGGATGGCAACACCAGTGCGCAGCACTACAAGATGCCGACATTCCACATCGAAAAGTTCCATGATTATACGCATCAAGACCCGGTCCCCTGGTGGGAAGGCGTTACGACGGAGCTTCGGATTCTTTTTGTCCCCGAGCACTCGTACATCGGCGCGTTGTTCCTCAACTCAAAGGGCGGATGCCAGATCTGGCCCAGCCACCTGGCAACCATCCACGACGTCCAGGTCGCCGATCTACATAAGAAGACCTCGTGGGACGAGTTGACGAGGCTATGGAAGAAGCGGTTCATCGTGGACGACGCCCCAGCACTCGCCATCAACCGCCTCTTCAGCATAACTCAAGGCAACACAACAACACGTGACTGGCTCACGGAATGGCAAAAGATCGTGGCAACGCCCGATCTTGATTGCCATTTTCGCATCTGCGCCGGAGTTCTATAACCGGTCATGTGCCGCCTTGAGCCTCGCACTTGGTGATCGCGAGCAATACACGACCTTCGCCGAAATCATCAACAAGGCAAGGGAGATCATCAAGACCAACAGGGCGGCCGCACACGAGAAGTCGGCGTGGTCGCCAACCTATGTGGAGAAAGGAAAATTTGGTCCACGTCTGCAGCATGTCGCTGCAGTCCACCGGACAACATTGTGGAAGACCTAGCAGTCACCCAAGCATCACGTGAGGGAGATCATGTGGCCGCTATCCAGCCGCGAAGCAACAACAACTCCCGAGGAAAAGGGAAGGCGAAAACCGCATCGCCGGCAGGAAACGGACAGCCAACACCATGGGTCAAGTCTCACTTGACCGAGGCCGAATACAAGTGGCACGGCCGGTATGGCTGCTGCTATTGGTGCAACAGCACCAAGCATAAGACCTCCCAATGCCCGGATCAAGGCAAGGAGGATGTTCGACCTCTCATCAACTCGAGAAACTGAGTTGCACTGGAGGTGAGGCGACTCCACCTCTCACTCCGCCAGATTCGGCCGCCTTGCTAGCGACCTCCTACACATCTGGGGAGGATGCGAATGTCATGAGTCCTTGGTTCACTTATGAGGATTATGTTGTCCACTCGGTCCCACCGTTGGACCAACCACTCCACGTGCAACAATCTACCGCATGCATGGTTTCACCACCATCGACAACCGATTCGGCAGCTTCGCCACCATCCATCGTCTTCAGGCTTTTAGGCCGAGAACGCTAATCGGGCCCTGCAGGCCCATGTGCCCCCCCCCCTCCTTGAAAGACCGAGCTTACAAGCGAGGGCGAAGTTGTCTGTCTGAGGGAGGGACCAAAGTCCGGGTGGGAGGGGCAGGTCGTGAAACTCCCTTAGCTAACCTTCGTTGTTCGTAGTGAGTGTAGATGAGCGGTGTGGATGCTTTCAAATCTGCTCCCTAAATCCTTTGACTGTCCTTGGGATCGCATGCTTTGAAGGTAACTTTGTACTATCGAGGCTTGCTGCCGTACTTGCGATCCGTGATGAAGCGGTTAACTTCCTGATGACCATCCATAGATGGAGGATCTTGCGATCGTTGGCCTGGGAAGTCGTCGCTCTTAGCTGGTGTATATGTTGCTAGCTTCGAGGCATGAAAGACTGGATGGATCGTCATATGCGGGGGGATGTTGATCACAAATGAGGGGTCATCGGGCTCATCGCCCGCGGTTGATGTTACGGGCCATGGTCCAAACCACTTGGGAAGTAGTTTGCGCGAAACATCCTGCTCGAGTGCAAACTCTTCCGCGGAGACCCAAACCAGGTCACTGGCGCGGATGGGACATGGCACGCGACGCCTGTTGGCTTGCTGCTGCATGCAGACTTGAGCCTTTTGCATGTTCGCGCGGGCTTGAGCCAACAATTCCCTGTACTTCTAGACGGAAGTGGGGCAGCAAGCAGCGTCTATGTCGGTTGTTCGTGGGAGGAGAAGATCAGTGAAGATACGGCCTTTCCGACCATCGTGGTGCAACTCGAATGGAGTCACGCTGATCGCCAGATGCAACGAAGTGTTGTAGGTGAACTCGATGTCAGGGAGGCGGTCAACCGAATCCTTCTGATCCGGACGGATGAGCGTACGAAGCATCATTTGAGCGGTTTGATGTGCCCGCTCCGTTTGCCCGTCCGTTTATGGATGCAGAGCTGAACTTGGCTTCATCTTGGTACCGGATTCCTGCATGAGAGAAGTCCAGAATGCCGACATGAAACGAGTATCGGGGTCGCTGACGATGTCTTCTGATACGTCGTGGCTGCAAATCCAGCCGGTGTGCAAGAGGCGCGTAAGTTCGGGAGTCGTGGCGTAGTACTTGCAAGGGACAAATCGAACGTACTTACTCAAACGGTCAACGACCGTGAGGATGCTGTCGTGCCCGAGGCGGTTGCGGGGAAACGGACCGGTGACGTCCATGGCAATGGAGAGGTCGGGTTCCCGTGGGATAGGCATCAGACGCAACTCGCCATAGGGATTGAGGTTGCGGGGCTTGCTTCATAGGCAAACTTCGCAAGAGTCGCAATATCGAGTGATCTCGGTAACGAGGTCGGGCCATCGGAATTGTTGTCGAAGTTGTGCAATAGTGCAATTGACTCCGAAATGGCCGGCGAGTCGCGAGTCATGGTACTCGCCGGGAAGGCGAGTCCGAAGGGGACGGTCTCGTGGGATACACAATAAGTCCTTGCCTCGCGAGTGTAGGAGCGTGTACCCGTCGACGATGTGATAGTGGCTGGCCGGTGGGTGATCCGAAGATAGCTGCGCATACAACGTGGCGAAATCCCGATCGGGCCCATATCCCCGGATGAAGCGTCGCTGGAGTTCCTCGTCGAACGCAAAGGCATGATGTGTCATAGCGTGAAGATCGGGTCTTCGCGAGAGTGCATCTGCTGCGCAATTGGAGAGGCCGGCGAGATGTTTCGGTGTGAAGTTAAATTGGTCGATGAAGTACATCCATCCTCCGATCGTGATGCTCACCGTATCCTACTTCTTGTAGTAGGTCACCGGGTTGTTGTCCGTGACCCATGTGAAACTATGATGCCCAAGAAGGAAGTGCCGCCATCGCTTGAGAGCCATCACGAACACGAGCAGCTCCTTCTTCCTTGCATCATTAAGTGAATTGATGAGAGGCAATTTGTGGCTGAAATACTCCAAGGGGTGTCAGTCGTCGTCGTCGTGTTGTTTCAAGACTGCCCCAATGGCATAGCCGGAAGTGTCAGTTGTCACTCTCGTTGGCAGGGTGGGGTCGTCGATGCTAAGGATGGGTGCCATGAGCATGGCTGTCTTGAGTGCTTGGGTTGACCGGTGTGCGTCGTCATCGAATACGAATGGCACCTTTGGCGATTGTAATCTCGTCATAGGTGCGGCAATCCTTGAGTACCTGGTGATGAAGCATTGATAGTAGCCCTCCAACCCCATGAATGAGCGAACGTTCGTGGTGTTGGTGGGCTTGGGCCATACGCGGATGACCTCGATCTTGCCCGCGAGCCAGACGGATGGCTTGCGGCGTCACATAATGTCCCAAGTACTCCAGCTCTTGTCGTGAGAATTCGCATTTGTTGCTGTTGCCTTTGTACTTGGCTTGTCGTAGCCACTCCAAAACGGTGCGCAAGTGCTCCACATGCTCGTCCAAACTCCGGTTGTACACCGAGGTGTCGTCGAGGTAGATGAGTACGAATCTATCCAGCATGTGTCGGAACTCCGTTGTCATAGCCGCTTGGAATGTGGCTGGGGCATTCGTAAGACCAAAAGGCATAACCAGCCATTCGAAATGCCCATATCTCGTCTTAAACATGGTCTTGTAGCGGTCCTCCTGCCGGATCTCGAGTTGGTGATATCCCGATTTGAGGTCAAGCTTGGAGAAGAACTTGGAGCCGCCCAACCGTTCGAGGAGGTCGTCGATGCGCGGGAGAGGGTCAGGGTTCTTGACAGTTTGCTCGTTGAGCTTGCGATAATTGATGCACAACCGCAAGTCCTTGTTCTTCTTCCGGGCGAAGAGAACGGGGGCGCCGTATGGCGAGGAGCCAGGCCGAATCCAGCCTTTCTCGAGAAGGTCGTCGAGTTGTGCCCGTAGCATACTTAACTCTTCCTCGCTCATGCGGTAGATGTAACCTCGCAGAGGTATGGCCCCGGCCTCGAGGATAATCTCGTGGCGAATAGGCCGATCCGGTACTACTCCGTGCGGGGTTTCGAACACGTCGCCGTAGGCGTCGAGAAACTTGGTGATGTGTGCATCCGTCGATGCGTCCGTCGATGAGATGTCATGGGGAGGGAGGGCATGGAGAAAACACACCCATCTCCTCGATGTCGTCCCGGGTGATGGAAACTCGAATGCTTGAGGCGGATACCACGTGACAGCTGATCGAAGGATGAGGTGGAGGCACCGTGCACGGGACTAGTACTCCGTCCGATCACGAACGTGAACAGTGCAGCGGTAGAAGTTCACCGGGTGATCCTCGCTTCGCAGCCATGACATGCCCAAGATCATGTCGAACTTGGTGTCCAAAATGTCCAAGGACACGGCCTCGCTTGCATGCGGGGCAAAGTACACGGGGACGACGTCAATGCACCGGTCGATTGACTTGTGCGTGTGAACGTCGGCCAATGTGACTTGTGTGGGCTGCGACTTCCTCCGAACGCGTGGCCCAAGGCCAACGAGTACCATAAAGTCTTGGCTCATGTAGTTGTGAGTAGCTCTGCAATCAATCAAAGCGTTGCAGGTCGCCTATCCGATCTGAATGCGTATGTATAACAATGGCGCGTCGATGTCGTCGTACCGTTGTGTCTTGAAATCGCGGTCAATCTTCGCAACGTAGTCGTGAAGGTAGACAACCTCTACTCCGGCGTCCATCAACGGAGCTGGTACTACAGTATGCAAGTAATCCCGCAATTGTGTCATGAGCACGTTGCAATGCGGTTTCGGCAATCGAACGGACGGGGGAA